ACATTGAGACTGGTGCTGCTGGAAGGTTTAGGCTCAGAGAGGTTAAATAACCACAAGGACACACAGCAAGCTGGTAAACTGCTCTGCTAACACCCAGGCCATGTTCCTTCCTCAAGGCTATGCTGTCTTAGAAGTCACATGGTGGGCATTGGGGACTGGGCAGCATCCATCAGAAGAGGGCTTCCCCATCTTGGGTCATTTAAGTAAACAGAATGTCAGAAACACACAGAGAGAGAGAGAGATGGAAGAGAGCTTCGAGAGAGCCTGGGATCTACTGGCAATAATTACGTAGTGGCTCTCAACCTTCCTCATCCTGCAATCCTTTAATACAGATCCTCATGTTGTGGTGACCTCCAACCATAAAATATTTCGCCGCTACTTCCTAACTGTGATTTTGCTTCTGTTATGAATCATAATGTAAATATCTGACATGCAAGATGGTCTTCGGCAACTCCTGCAAAAGGGTCGTTCCACCCACAAAAGGATCGGGACCCACAGTTGACAACCACTGAGCTAAGGCCTTCTGCACACCTCATGTCTTCATCAAACACACTCCTCATCACCCGCAAATGACATTTAGCACCTGCCACTGACAGGGTGGGGTGGTGACTTCCTGACCACATAGCTGCTACACGGGGTCCTGGACCCCAGGCAGGCAGGCAAGTGATCTGAGGGGCCCAACTAAGGGGCATGGGGCAGGAAGTATAGTAGGAAAGGTGACAGGAAGGAAGTTGGTCTTGGAGTTCCAGGCAGCAAAGTCACTGAGGCAGGAACTTGGGGTAACTGGATATCTGACACGTACGCTTTGGGGTCCTATGGCTCCCTGAAATGGGGGCCTGACCTGAGCGTACTGTGGTCCCTCCTCCCCGCCTAGCTATGAGTGCTGCATATAACCAAGCCAGGACAGGCTATCTGTGGCTCCATTATGGGGGTAGTGCTTCCATTATGGGGGGAGGGTGGGCTCAGACCTCACAGCCCCTGGAACTCGGAGGAAGGCGGTGAGCTGGCATCTGTGTGACTGGGCCCTGACTGAGGAAGCCGCTGCCTGGCGGGTCTGAAACGGGAGTGTAGCATGTCCACTTCACTTTACATTGCTGGGGCCTCTCCCAAGCCAAACCCCCAGCTCCACTGCTTGCCTGCTCCAGAGCCTGGCCCCATCATAGCCTAGGGTAGGGAGGGGTAGGGAGGGCGAGCTGTTCAGGGAGAGGGTCCCACCCCATCACATCTGCCACAGCACGGGGGAGGAGCCCTGAGACACTTTGAAAGAGGAAGGCCACCAGAACCTGGATCTACCCATCGACCTGTCACATTTGGCTGTAGAATGGGGTCACGAGTCACTACAAAGGTCAACCAAATGTCTTTGACATTTAGTCAGACATTTTGGTTTTTGTTTTTGGTTTGTTTTTTTGTTTGTTTTTTTTTTGTTTGTTTTTTTTTTTTTTTTATTTTGACAGTTTCATGAAGCCCAAGGTTATCTCAGACTCCCTATGTACCCAAGGATGGCCTTGAATGGATAATTCTGTCCGTACTTCCTTGAGTGCTGGGATTAAGTTCTCAGAAAGAGCAACTCATATACCAGACATGGTAACAAACCTCTTCCCCCCCCCCCATCAAAGCCACCCTGACTACTCCTCTAGTATTGGATAGCAAAGGCCATAAAGTGTCAAAGTGTCACCTAGCCCTTGGGACAGACAAATGCTTCAGGAAGTCCCTGGGCCAAGCACCAGGACAATAGTCCAGGCTATTCTTCGACCCAAGAATGCCAGGCAAGCACTCAGGGTATAGTTTCGCTGGTAGAGTGCCTGCCTAACATGCAGAAACACATGTCCTGGCCTACGTAAGTCAGGTATTGGTGGCACACAACTGCCATCCCAGCACTGGAGACGGAGAAGGGGGATCAGGAGTTCAAGGTCGTCCTAACCAACATAACAAACTGAGGACCAGCCTGGGTACATGAGGCACTGTCTCAAAAAAAAAAAAAAAAAAAAAAAAAAAAAAAAAAAGGCAAGCAAAGGCAGTTTTGAGCGAAACCTACATCTGTAAGGTATGTAAGCTGGCAGTGTGGCTCTTGGGGTTCTGGAGGTGGCTTCCTAGAACTAGGCAGTAGGTAGTGTGTGAAGCAAGTAGCCATGAACACTGGGAGAGTTGATGGATGGATGGCAATGAATCAGGGTGCCTGACCACCAGGCCACCACCATCTGAAGGTCCCAGTCACCAGGCTACACCCTCAGTCACAATACAGATGCCTCAGAAGGATTTCAAACAGTGAACAAGAGGGCAAAGACACGAGGAAAGGAGCAAAAAACCCTCAGGCCCAGCAATACTGCAGGTACCAGATTCTACTCCTGTGCCAGCCTGAGATGCTGCTGACTCTGGCCCAACCAGCAAATAGCAGCCCTCAGCCCCAAGACTGCAGGGTAGGGATGGCTTATCCCTGCTCAGAACAAGTGTCCTGTCTTCACATGCTTTTATTTACCAAATAAATGAAAGACTAAATGAAGGGGTGAATGGTGGGTTCCCCGTCAAACAGGACAAGAGCCCCAAGGGTAAAGTGAGCCTGCTGCCCCTAGGACCTGCTCCAGAAGGCTCTCTCTGTTGCCCAGTCTAGCTACATACAACATCTCTGAGTCCCATAACAGGAATAGGAGTGGGGATACAGGTAAAGATGGTCTGGGGAAATAACACTGGGAGTAAGGCCAGCTTGCCTTCAAACCCCACCTCCCAGTTCTGTGGTGCTGGGAGATGCCACAGCTTGTCACCCATTCTCACCCTTTCAGTGGAACAGCGGGACCCACCTTGTAGAAACAACTGGAAGGGAAGTTTCCATGCTTCTCTGTGGCAATGTGCCCAACACAGTGCCTGTGTCCCAACCCAGAGGCTACTGTGGAATTAATCATGAGAAGGAGGATTGCACAGTTCTTAGCTCCAGGCCCCTTCCATCTTTAAGGCAGGTAAGACAGAGAACAAAAGGTAGCGTGAAATCTCTGTTCTAAGGAACAGGTCATAGCTAAGTGGGAATGTAGACAGGCTTGTAGTTCTTGCCATTTGCTCTTGTTACCTCATTGGCAATAGACTAGGTTTTAAGTGTGTATGTTCTTACTTCTCCTTCTCCTAGAGCATACTTGGTATTCACTGTCTTTGAATACAGTTTTGTATCAAGCCTAAATCTTTTCTTTACACTAAAAGGAGAATTGTAGTGAGACATCCACCCCACCCGCACCTGTTGTGCTGACCACGCCCATTGGGTCCTGTGGACAGATAGGGACATGAGCTGTGGGGGGCTAGGTCTGGGGTCCTGGACCCCAGCTCACTCTCTTACTTCCTGGTCAGGTGGGGGGGGGGGCGGCACAGCACAGATGCCTCACTGGCTGGGTGAAACCTAAATCCCCAGGTCCCATGTATACAGGCCTTTCTGGAGAACTGGTATTTACAAAAGGCTTGGAAGAGTTAAAGCTGTAGAGCGGAAAAAACATGCACAGGGCTCATACACGCTCGATGGCAGGCACCTAGTGACCAGCTTCACGGGGCATAGGGGCATGTGAGCAGGCGATTCCAGACCTGGAAGGTGAGGGCTCTGCCTCCACTACCAGGAGCCACAGAGGCTCCCAGACAGGCAGACAGGCATCTGGACTTGAGCAAGGTCTCCCTGTCGAAGAAGGATTGTGCGAGTAGGAATGGGCAGATCAGCTAAGAGCCCGTGGCCACAGTCACAGAAGGTAGTAGGAGTCTAAGCTGACCTGGGACTGGTCAGGTAGGGAAGGAAGCAGGAGGGAAGCCCTTCCCATCACAGTCATGCTAGCACTCCGCCTGAGTCCCACAGGCCTGTGCTACCCCTCCTGGGGTCCCAGGGACAGGCCTGAGCTCAGTGCCCAAAAACCTACCCTTCCTTGCAGCTCAGAGCACGATCTCCAGTCTGCTGGTAACCACAACCTCGCACATTGACATTCAGCCCTCAGAACTGGGACCCTCTTGATCCACAGGCCATCCCTGGATACCTCTCTGAGGCCCAACATCCATCGTGACCTTAAGCCATTGAGTCATTTCAGGACACCATAGAAGCCACCTCTCCCCTTCCTCTCCCAGCAGACAGGTAAATATACTCTGTCCATCAGGGTGGGCAGAAGGCATGCCCAGCTACCCAACTGTGGAGCAAAGCGAAGGCATATCCTATGTAGCAAGCTCCCTCCTCCATACCCTTCAAAAACGGTGATTTTTCTGGGCCTTACCCAGACGCTGTGTTCCCTTTAGTCCGTCTTACCAACAATGGAGACAGGAAGGAAAAATAAAATAAAAGGGCTTCTCTGTAGACTTGACCTTGCTCTTGGTGTGAGTAAGGAGAAATTGAATGAAGGTTGGGGTCTTTACTCTCCATTTTCCTGGAGCTCCTTGGGTAGCTGCCCTGACCTCCACTGTCCCCGGCACACAGAGATCATTCTGAAATGGCCCCTGAACACATCAGGCGGATCCTTGGAAGGGATCTGGGTAAGTGGCAGAGAAATGACTCACTGCCCAAGTGACTCTTACGTTAAGCGCCTACTTAGACTCCTGGCCCGACTCTTACGTTAAGCGCCTACTTAGACTCCTGGCCCGACAACAACTAGCAGCCCCAGGGTTTCCAAGAAAGACACAACAGGCAACGCACTTGGGCAGTGGGACAATGACCCCAGTAAGGTCCTTCCTGCCTCAAGCGTGGAGGAGAGAAGGGACTTCGCAGCATCGCAGGGATGAGTGGCTGGGTGTTACCCAAGCCGGGTCTGCGCTCATGGAGAGAGCCACAATGCATTTCTGGAATATGTGGCTGCTGGGACCCGAGTTCCACCCCAGGCTCCCAATGTGACAGTCTTCGTTCGAGTCCGCGGTCGCTCCCCAAAGGCGCATGGTGCATGTCAGGCTGGGGATGGGACGGCCTCTGGCACTGTCCCGGAATTGTGCTGTAGTCACGATGGGCACTACGTGATGCGATGCGTGGCTGTTCCCCCCCGACCCTGAAAATCACCCACCTGGGCGGGCACGGTGTGCCCGGTGGCCCACAGCTGCAGTCCGATGACCAGAGTGACCCAGAGGGTGGCGGGCGCCATAGGGACGGCGGTGGCTCCCGCCCTTGAGCTTGGACCTCTAGTGCCTCTGCTGCGATCTGGCTGGTGACTGAAAGCGAAAGCCCCAGGCTTTGAGCTAGGGCAGACCATGGGAGGTGGAGGCGGGAAGGGGTGGGGCCACGGCCCGAAGACACGCCCCCTCACAGTGTCCTCTGCTGTCCCTGGCACCTCCACCTGGACTCGCCTAGCAACTCTGGGCCTCTTTCTCCAGCATCTCTCCCGGCCCCCAGTGACTCAGGCTCTCTCCATCACCCCTTCCCCTTCGGGTCACCTTCCCAGTGAAGAGGAAGGGACTGGCACTGGTAATAGGTATCCACTGTATTTGTGTCCCAAATCTCACTGACGTCCCACTCTCCAGTGGCAGGACACTGGGGAGAACAGCCCCAAAGCTGACACTCACTCTGGAGGACCAAAGAGCTCTCAGTCATTTGCCCCCTAGAGCAATGGTTCTCCACCTTCCTAACGCTGAGACCCTTTAACACAGTTCCTATCTTGTAGTGACTCCCCGAACATGAGATTATTTTCATTGCTGCTTCATACCTTCAATTGTGCCACTGCTGTGAATAGTGGTGGAAATAACTGAAATGCAGGAGGCCGGATACGAGACTCCAAACAGGGTGCCACCACAGGCTCAGAACCACTGCCCTAGAGCCAGACTAGCTACATGGGAATGCTTGCCTTTTTCCACGGAGCTTATTAATATACGCTATATAATATGGCTCCTATAACATGTGGCATGTGTCGGCTTACTTGGTGTATACAAGTACAGTGTACGGCTTTGCACAGGTACAGCTATTTTTAATACATTTCATTTGTTCCAGTTCCCTTGAGCATGCTTGGAGCCTTCGGTGGGAGCAGACTCTGCCCTCTTCTTCTGAGCCCCTTGGCTGACAGGTAAACAAAGGCGGAGGGAGAAGGCCACCCAGGAAGTCATGTTTCTAGAACTGATCTCATCAGAGCGCTGGCTCTACCTGCCATCTGAGTGCCAGCCAAAGGCCAGTGTGCATTATCCCTCCAGCCCTGAACAAGCGGCACTGGGCGAGGTGGGGTGGACAGTGGGACAGGTGACTATTCTGCCCCTCCTACACACACACACACACACACACACACACACACACACAGTATAGGCTGACAGGAGAGAGCCCTACAGCCGATAACCCTTGGTAGAGCAACAGCAGGATGGTACTTCTAGGTCCTGGGAGAGGAACTGGGAAGTGAACCTTCTCAGGATGGAAAATCCCACCTGATGGGCAGGAGCCTGGGAAATCACCTGGTTCCACATGTTTCTGAGACACAGGACATATCCACAGCCTTGACCCTGAAGAGGGGCAGCCACTGAGCAGACAGGGAGAGTTCTGGTCCCTAAGCCTCCTACGGAAGACATCTCAGGGGTGCTCCGGTCTATTTGAGAAAGCTGAAAGCCAGGAATGGGTGTCGCCAGACAGAAGCAAGAGTCAGTGATCTGCCCTGGACCCTAACTGGTTGGTCCAGCAGACTCACCCTCTCCAGCCAGGGAACAATGCCACCAGAAAGCACACATAGGAGGCCACAGGCGAGCTCCTATCTTAGTCTGTACTCTGCAGCTCCTAAGTCAGCACCACATGCTGGGTTCATTATAAAGAGAAGGGAATGGTTTGGGCTCATGGTTCTGGTCAAAGATCAAGGAGTCACAGTTGATGATGACCTCGCTGACAAAAATTCACATAGCAAGAGGCCAAGGGATAAATGTGAATTGTGTGTGTGTGTGTGTGTGTGTGTGTGTGTGTGTTTCTCTTCTCATGAAGCCACCAACACCAACCATGGGGCCTCTACCCTGCCTTTAATGCTAGTCACTGCTTTTTTATAGCATCAACTGTCAATCTGTGAAAACACCACAGCCTGCCGACCCACCCCGGACTGCTAACCTAGCGGTCAGTGCAGGTGCCTTGCAAATGCTCACCAGGGGTCACTTGTGGTTCACACTAATGATTAGTAATCATGAAACTAGCAGTTACTGGAGGGTTACTCTGGGTAACCAACATTTGCTGTTGGTACACATGGTCTTGCAGTTTCGTAGGACCGTCCTTGCACAGCTGGGGGGGGGGGTACCTTAGAGGCAAACCCAGTTTAGTTGCCGTTGTACCAAGGAGCCCCTTCCCAGCAGTTACTGCTCATGCCACTCCACTGTCCAGTCCCTCTGCAGCCCAGGTACACCATCCAGTCCTGGCTATTCACTTGGTACCCAGGAAACACACAGAAGGTAGGCCTCAATAAAGCAGAAGTGAATGAAAACTTCTAAGTACACACAGGAGGCAATAAGATTTAAAAAAAAATGGTGGTGCATGCCTTTAATGACAACACTAAGGAGGCATAGGCAGGAATATTTCAGTGAGTTCAAGGCCAGCTTGATCTATACAGTGAATATAAGGTGAACCAGGGCTACATAGAGAAACCCTGTCTCAAAACACCAATTGGACGGGGCATGAATCGATGAATGGATGAATGAATGAATGAATGAGTGAGTGAGTGAGTGAGTGTGCATCAGGGTTGGACTCTAGTCTAATCCAGTTAATTTTTGGCTCTACCCACCCCACCATGCATCTCTTAGTCCATAAGCCCAATAGTGCAGAAAAGGCCCAGTTGTTCTTATATAGGACTAGCAGAGATAGGATGGTGGCCTGCACAGGGGCTGCAGACAAAGCATATGAATCCATGGGGTTCCTGAGCCTCTCCACACTTTCCAGGGCATCTCCAACCCTCAGAGACCCTCCTGTCATCTTACACCCCAAAACCCGGCAGCTCTGTTTCTACAAACAGAAGACTTACCTTGGAAAGGCAAGGTGTGCAGGATTGCCCACGCTGATAACTGAGCACTTACTGCATGCCAGGTATCCTAGCAAGCCTCTGGGAGGAAGCACTCCAGCTTCAGCTTCTAAGACACTCACCCACCATATGCACCCAGGGAGACTGAACCAGAAACGGTATCCCAAAGGCTACGGTGCCAGGATCCCATGACTTTTTGTTTATGTGTGTATGGTGTGCCTGTGTTGGCCTACCTCCTCCTCATATGATTCTACCCATGGTCAGCCTGGTCAGTTTATTGGACTTCCTTACAGAACATGGGTGACCCCGGTGCACCCACACCAGAGCATCTTCACCCAGCAAGGGTAACAACTTCCATACGGCCACACAGATAGATTTCCTCTTCTAGGCTTCTACAACCAAGTCCTCTGGCACTTCTGGGAACACACCCAGGCCCCCGGCAGCAATTCAGACAGAACTGTGCACAAATGTCTTGGAGCAGTGGTTGGAATGTCAGGTGAGGATCCAATGGCCGTCCCCACCTGCTTCTTGTCTGAGGAAAATTCACCAGTCCATAGGCCCCTGCTGTGATAGGATCTTTTCAGCACAGCAGATCTGAGGAAGATGGCAATGTTTTCTAGGAAGAATGCCTTCTGCAACAGTGTGTGTGTGTGTGTGTGTGTGTGTGTGTGTGTGTGTGCACTCTCAGGGGCACAGATGAGCACATGAGCATTGTGACTGAAAATTAACGTCAAGTGTCTTCCTCAATTCCCTATATGTGCGGGTTGGGCTCTCACTTGAGCCTAGTGCCCACCTACTTAGCTGGTCTAGCTACCTTGCTCTTCAGGTCCTGTCTCTACCTCCTGAGTCTAAGATTACAGCAGGGCCACCGTATCCCTGTGCTTTGGTTTCCCTCCATGGACGCTGGGGATCCAAACAGTGGGTGTCATGCTTGCCTGCTTGCCTGGAAAGTACTCACGGAACCATCTCCCCATCCCCTCGATGGTCTGATTGTTTTTTGTTTGTTTGTTTGTTTTTAATGAGCCCTCACACATACCTGGGACTGAGAGACACCATCAGAGACGTAGGTGCAGCATTCAGTGGCTTTCAGTATGCTGGGAGAGGTAGCTTCCACTAAGAGGGAAAATCTCTGATATTCTTGTCTATGTGAATTCCTAGAAACAGCCACAAAACAAGCTCCTTCTGATGTGGCCTCTAAAGGTCCAGGGACTCCCATCAAAGAGGGCTGCTTCTGGGCAAGGGGATCCCTTGCCATGCCCCTCAGTGGTCCCAGCAAGGACCTTTCTTAACCGACTCTTGCCTGCACTTACTATCACCACACCCTGAGTGTGCTGGGCCAGCCCCTTGGTGAGTCACAGGAAGCTGTGCCTGGTGTTACCCACAGACTCACAACTGCCTCCCCTGGCTGTCTTCCCCCTGTAACCCCCAGACACACACATGCACATGCGCACTCTCGTGCCTGCAGACACCCACACACACATGCAAGCATGCACTCGTGACTGCACATCTTGGGCTAAGCTAGTCATTCATGCTGGCAAGGTGGTGTATTGACCCACAAATTCTGTGTCCTGTCCCCATCTCTTTCTGAGACATAGGAGGGCTTTGGGGACACAGATCTTCCGGTTTCCAGGCCTCAGAGGGCCCAACCAATTGGAGGAAGGTTGTTACGAGGCCACCAAAATACCTCATTTTGAGTTTTCTTTTCTCAGACTCTCTAAAACAGCTGCCAAAGTCTTGGTCAGATTTTATTGCTAAATTGTTATCTAAGAGAGGAGGGTCCTGGGTTTGGCCTCTGAGGAATAGATTACATTGTATATCCATGTACATTGTATATAGTTGTGACATAAGGGTGTTTTTATGTATGATCAATAAACGCCATTTAAAGAGAAATAAATAAAGAAGGACATGGAGAGATGGTTCAGTGGGTAAAGTGTTTTCCACATGAGCCTGAAGACTAGAGTCCAGACCCTTAGCGCCCACAAAATGCTGTGTGGTAGCCAATCTGCAATCCCAACATGTGAGAAGTGAAGACAACATATCGCCAGGGCAAGCTCGCTAGCCAGACTAGGCAAATCTAGTGAAAAATGGCTGAGGAAGACATACACATCCCACATCCATGGCAGGCCTATATACCCACACACACATTCAAATACATATACATGTCACGCGAGCGAGCGCGCACGCGCACACACACACTTAAGACTATATAGATGAGGGTGGAGAGATGGCCGAGGGGTTAAGAGTGCTTAGTGCTCGTTCAGAGGA